ACCCATTTTCTTCTCTGGAAGAGAAGAAAGATCAGGGCTTTGTTGGGGGTGTGGTGTTGGGGGTGTAGTATTGGGGGTGGAAACAGAACTGGATTTAGGCAAACAAATCATTGAGTTCATCAGGAAGAAGGGGGTTTAAGGAGGTTTCCAAAAAAGGTAGCACAGGTCCTACTTGTTAACTCCCAGTTGGATGCATTGCTATATGATGCTAGGGAGGAGGGACTCTAGGAGCCAAGGCCTGAGGAATTGAGATGACAGAGACCTTTGTTCAAGTTGTGAGTACAACTCTCTTCAAGGACAGATTATGTGACCTTGGACAGTGAAAATATCAGTGGGGATCAGTGGAGACATAAATATCAGTGGGGATCATAAGCCAATATGTTGGAGTGCAGAAGACATCCTCACTCCCAACCTTTGAAACAACTGGAAATGTGAATGGAGGAAGTCAGTCCAGAAATTACTGAAATGGAATTTCCTGCCAGCTGATTGCTGCTCTAAGCAGCTCAATTGTGTTTAAACAAAATACAGAAATGTGCTATCTTACACTCAGAGTTATGGTGAAATAACTTCCCCACACTTCATCTTTAAGATAGCAATTATTAAACTCACTTTGCAGAGTTGTTTTAGCATTAAATTAGATGACATGGACAAAGTGACTATACTAAATCATCTACATTTAATACATTTTTACCAGGAAATATTCATATGTGTACATACTGTTGCAAGAATAGAATCAGGTGCTAGGTTTTCAAAGAAGTATAGGACAGACTTCTGGTTCCCAAGGATTTTATTATAATTAGAGATGCAGATTAAGTATATAGGACTATCTAGAAGTACTAGGTTTATATGTCTAAGCAAGAAATGCAGGCAGTGGAAACATGAGAAGAACCAGAGGAAAATTGAATGGAAGAGTTTGGAAGCATGAATCATGACACAGAACAGAAAACCTACAGAAATCTTAGAAGAGAAGATGGCAACTTTAGACATGAAGGGAATTTGAGTATGATGCCATCATTGGAAAATTTCACCAGTACACAAATAATTATTCATACAATATTTGGACAGTGGGTTTAGATTTTTTCCTGTGTCTTTTTCCCCCTCAATTTTTTAAAAATCAAAGCTCTAAGTGCACAAAGTTTAAATAATAAAATAATAGGATATAACAAACCACCACTACCACCACCAACAAAAACAACCTTAGTCTCTCTCATCCATTTCTCTTTACCCAGAAGCAACTACTTTTAGCTCTTTTATTTTATTTTATTTTATTTTATTTTTTCTTGGGTATATGACCTTCCTGATTGTAAATATTTTTATTCTTGATTTTTAAATTTCATTCATTATCTATTGATATTAATATATCCCATTTTGGAAGATGATGATTTTTCATTAGTCCTCATACCTATACCTCACTCTGTCACATGCCTATTTTTTTTTTTTTTTTTTGCTCCCGTCTTTCTACTATAGTTATTTCATAATTTGGGTTGGAGCAAAATTATTTTATTATTATGATGATAATAAATGCTATTATTCATAGCTATGCATAGTAAAATACAATGATTAATATAAGTAAGATTATTCCTCCCACTCACAACTGAATTTTTCCTGGGTTAAATAATTTCCTGAAATTTTTAAAAATTCATTTTCTATGTATTTCTAACTGCAACTATTTGCCAGTTTCTTAAATCTCTTCTTAGTATGTTCAGACACATAAGGTATTTGGCTTTGCATATCCTTGAAGCACCCTAACCTGCCCTAATCTAGAAAGGCTACCCTCAGGGCCTCCCATACCTATGACCATGGAATTGGTCTTGACTAGGATCCTATAATTTCTTCTGCCTCTCTCACCTATAGAATTCCTGTCTCCAGGGTCTTATGTCTTCCTTGTTCTTGGTCTACCCACTGTGAAGCATAGCCTTTAAGCGATTATCTGAGAGAGGGTGCAGGTAATGTAAAATTTTTGATACACTGAATATCTGAAAATAACTTTATTCTTCCTCATACTTAACTGATAGTTTGGCTGAATAGAGACATCTATGTTGAGAAATATTTTTCCTCAGAATTTTAAAGGTGCTGGTCTTCTACTTCCAGTGTGCTGTTGAAAAATCCAAAACTATTCACATTCTCCATCTTTTTAGGTGACCATCTACCTCCCAAACCCTACCTGGATCTTGCCTTTATTCCAGTGTTTTAAGATTTCATAATGACATGACTTTGGTGTGGTTTATTATCAGTCATTGCCTGGGTACTCTGGATTCTCTTTTAGTCTTCATACTTAGGTCATTCCGTTCTGGGAAATACACTTGAAATGTTTCATAAGTAACTTTCTCTGTCCTGTTTTTTGAGAACTCCTTTCATCTAATGTGAACTTGTCCTTGTGAACTTGTCCTCTAATTTTCTCATTTTTGTCTCCTCTTTTCCATCCTTTATCTTTTTTGGCTCTGCTTTTTGAGAAATTTCTCCAGTTTTTATCTTCTGACACTTCTATTGAGTTCTTCATTTATGCCATTGTTATTTTCAAAATTTCTAATATCTTATGTTTATTCACTGATTTTTTTAAAACAGGCTATACTTGTTTCATTGAAATAGAGTCTTCTCTTACCTCCATGAAGATATTAGTAATAAAATATTTTCTTCTCTCTCTATTGTCTGGTTCTTTCAGTTTGCTTATACTGTAACTGTATTCTCTGTTTTTTGTATTAAAGATGTCTTAGGTATCTGGTGATCCTTTGTGTTTGCACATATTTAAGAATGTGGCACACTGAGAGTGTGATAGTGGAGATTGTTGGCTTTGTTGTAGGAAGATCTGTCTAGAAAAGTGCTATCTAATATAACTTTATTCAATGATGGATATGTTCTATATGTACGTTGTCCAATATCATAGCCACTATGTGTCAATCATTACTGCCATTGAGGAACTGATGCTTAAATTTTACTTTATTTAATTAATCAAAGTTGTAATGTAAATCATTACAAGTGACTAGTGGCTACTATATTGGACAGTACAGGCCTATGGTTTCTCTTTGAATTTTTTTCTTAATGAATTGAGTTGGATTTATTTAAGAGCTTTTTTTTTAAAGTTTATTTTTTTTGAGAGAGAGTCAGAGAGTCAGGAAGGGGCAGGGAGAGAGAGAGGGAGAGAGAGAGAAAAATTCAAGCAGGCTCCAACTGTCAGCACAGAGCCCAGTGCGGGACTAGAACTCATGAACCGTGAGACCATGACCTGAGCTAAAATCATGGTTAAGAGTCAGCCACTTAACCAACTGAGCCACCTAGGTGCCCCTAGAGAAAGATCTTTGAATGTTTTTCTGGAAGGTTAGGCTTTGATTCCTACCATTCTGAGAGTCAGATAGAGATGGAGGGCTAGAGGCAGGGATGAATTTTCATTCCCAATATGCCAACATCCACCTGTTTTAAATTTTCTATTTAGTATTGCAGCACCCCCCAACTTTCCCAGAGTTCACTGGCTTAGCTTTTCTATAAAATAAACTTCTAGGCTTTTGTTGTGGGTAAATAGGGTATTTGAGACTCTAAGTGCCTCTTATTTTTTGCTCTACCTTCAGTCCTATTTTCAGAGCTGTCTAGTGCATCAGTTCCTAAAACTTGTTTGTAATCAATGCTTCTCAGCTCCCCCCGTCCCCCCACCCCCCACATTTTGATATCATGTCTTTCCTCATTCTTTGTCCTTATGATTTGATGTTTTGGAAAAAAATATTTGTCATGTTTTAGTGGGATTTCAGAAAAGTATAAAAAACAAATGTGCATGTTCAGTCATCATCTTTACTCCACAGTTGGCTTGTTTCATATGTGGGTTATCTTTGCCCATTCAGACTGCTATAACAAAAGTACCATAGACGGACTTAAACAACCAACATTTATTTCTCATGGTTCTGGAAGCTGAGAAGTCCAAGATCAAGGTGCTGGCAGATTTGGTGTCTGGTGAGAATACTAATCCATATTGACAAAAGGCTCCACCTCATGACCTAATCACCTCGAAAATGCCCTACGTCCTAATATCACTTTGAGGGTTAGGATTTCAACATATGAATTTGGGAAAAAGGATTACCTACGATTTCATCCAACTATTATTAATTTAGAAATCATACCTCCTGGAATAATTTCAAATTTGTAAAATATTTTTGCATTTTTAAAAAATAAACTCTATCAGCTGACTTCTACAAGCATTTTAAACGTCCACTGAAACTGAATCAGGATAATTGAATGGGTCTCCCATAACAGGAGAGACTTTGATCAGGTTCAAATATTAGAGGTAGATTTCTATCTCTAAGAAAAAACTTTGGGTAAAACTATACCTTCTATTCAGATATATGCAATTAGCTTTTTGAATTAATTAGGCCCTCTGTATAACAGGAAAGACTGTAAAGGCTCAAGCACAAGACAGTTCCTTCTATTTCTTTGGGATAATTTTTGGAGAAAACATTATTTATATTCAAGTTCATATGGTATTTAGGCAAATCAATATAAAATATAAAGCATGAGCATAACCTAATCAGCACTAGTGTGTTTTCTTTCCTTGTCTCCCACTGAGGGGGGTCAATACTGGTGGTTAGATTTTTGTGGGGGTGCAGATTCAGATTACCATGATATGCAAAATATAAAGTACTATTTATTATTCATCCATATTTATGGAATTGGGCATAAGCCCAACATACATTTAAAAGAATATATGATAAGGGCGATCAGCACAGTCATGGGTAGAGTAAATAATTTAACTTTATAAAGTAATGGTTTTTTTTTTTTAGTGCTTATTTATTTTTGAGAGAGAGGGAGAGAGATGGACAGAGCATGAGTGGTGGAGGGAGGCAGAGAGAGGGAGGCACAGAATTGGAAATAGGTTCCAGGCTCTGAGCTGTCAGCTCAGATGTGGGACTCAGGCTCTCAGACTGCAAGATCATGACCTAAGCTGAAGTCGGACGCTTACCCGAGTGAGCCACCCAGGTGCCTCTAAAGTAATATGTTTTAAACTTGCTTCAGTTTAGGCCTTATATGGAGTTGGATGATTTACTTCTGCTTCTCATTTTCTAAATGTAAGCTGACTTTCCTTGCAACATAAAGATGGTCAGTCATCTCCTATCTACCACAGGTAAGACCAGTCAACGTCCATGCTTAGAACTTTCAAAGTGCTCTGGTCTTCTTCAAGATTGTGACCTTGGGGCATAAGCCACCAGAGCTGGCTGGTTTTGCTAACATGACCTCTGGTTGCTAAAATGAACCTCTTCTCAGTAGATTGCTCTTCTGCTTTTGTTAAATCTAGAATTTGATTTCTGTGTAAATCTTAGTGGCTGACAAATCACACTTGTGCTTGGTTTTCTGTTCAGTGGTTAAAGCCAGCACCCCACCCACGTGGTTCTACCTTTTCCATAAACTCTTACTGTGCCTCAAATTTGTACCTCACAGTTAAATATCTAATTCTACAGTGTGTGGTTGCTATTTGCTTCAGACGGTCTTTACTCCCCCTCTGCTACTCTTCCTCCCCGTCTAACTAAACTGTGATGATTCAAAAGACAAAAGTCATGCTTGATATGTCTTTGTAGCTTCCACAGTCCACGTATGTGGAGACATTCAGATTAGGCTTTATTTTACCATGAGACAACTGTGATGTGTGCCACCATTTATCTTGTACATCCTCTATTCCAAGTGCTGTGGAGGCACTTTACATATTATTTCTCATCCTACATAGATCCTGCAAGGGAACTGATATTCTTATCTAATTTCTCAGTTGAATCTGACACTCAGAGGAAGCAAGTAACTTATAAATAGTTAGTAGGCATCACAGTCAGGGTTTGGACTCAGATTGAACCCAGGACTTGAATCCATGTTCTTTCTACTACTGTATCTCCACTTGCCTCATTCTCAGATTTCACATAGAATTCAAATAGGCATATTATAGCAGCATTACTTAGCTTTCAGCTAGATTTGTAATTTGGACTACTAACTTAGATGAAATCTAAGTCCTAGCTGATGACTTACAATGTTAGCTCTTCTCTTTTGAGAGTCAGGTGACCAACTTTCTGAGCAAAAGTACTTGTCTCTGGGTGCCTGGGTAGCTCAGTTGGTTAAGTATCCTACTCTTGATTTTGGTTCAGGTCATGATCTCATGATTTGTGAGATTGAGCCCCTCATCGGGCTCTGGGCTGACAGCACAGAGCCTCCTTGGGATTCTCTCTCTCTTTGTCTCTCTACCCCTCCCCAGCATGCTCATGTTCTCTCTCTCTCTCTCTCTCTCTCTCTCAAAATAAATAAATAAACTTAAAAAAAAATACTTGTCTTTTTAGGGCTACTGGAAGCTTGTGAGAGAGCCCAAGAGTGTCAAGATGTTATCAGCAAATAGCCTGGTTTTAAAACCCAGGACTTCCCCTGAGCACAACAATGGCAGGGCTATGTAGTGATGTAGGGCCTATAACTTGTCCCTTCATTTCCTTCTCCGAATTTCATTACTCCCACATTTTTAAAACAACACATCCTCTATGATATAATAATGGGCAAGCACTCTGAGATTTCAAGTGACAAGTGAGTGCCAGGAATATTTTATTTGTCTTGGAAAGATATAAATTCCCAGATCTATACAGATTCCAGTGGCTTTCAGAGAGACAGAGCATGCTGCTCTCCTTAAGAAAGGCCACCAATGGGAGTGATTTTTGATGATGCAATGCTGATATTTTAGTACCATTCTGGAGAGGGAAGAGGTGGGGTTTCTCTGGAGCCAGATGAACTCACAATTAGTTCTCACCCAGGCTGCTTAAGCAATTACGATGAAACCAAATCATATTACTTTTCTCTTCTACTCCTGATAAAAGCCTCAACCCTGTTCCTTCTGCCCCATAGGGCACTTGGCTGGCCATTATTCCTAACACTATAGACACTATTCTTTGCTTCTGTTTCCAAGCTACAACTGTCACAGTGTAAAATAAGAAGTGTGGGGGAATAATGCACACCTCTCGGTTTCACTACTTCAGAGGCACCTAGCAACCCGGTCTCCAGGCAGGCAGCACGAATCTCTGGGTAGTTTACTGCCCACTCACAGCAGAGGCGGCGTGCTCTCTGCAAATAGCCTACATCTTTGCCACTGCCAGCTTGGTGGTGGGGTAGTGGTGTCATTCGGTATCCTTCAGGACGTTTGGTTCTTGTTCTGGGAAGATTAGGGCAAAGCAATGACCATTTTCCCAAAGCTGTTTGTGGAATCAGAAATTAGGTCAAGCAGTTCTGTACTTGGGGTTGCATAGTCTAAAATCAAAACCAATCATTTTGATTCTTTCTTTTTTTTTTTTTTAGTGTTTGACACGTTTCTGTCATGAATTTTCCAAAACATTCATGACACTCTTTTCTAAAGGATGAAAAGAGTGTTTCCCAGTTGTGTCTATGCAGTGAACAACCCTCCTGGCCATTGCGTCCATCTATCAACACACCCATAAAACATTCCCATAGTTTTTACCAAATCTACATCCTCCCTCCAAAATGTTAATTGGGCTGAAGACAAGCCTGCACTGGTTTACCAACCAGCCTTATGAACTTTCCATTTCAGGCTCATGCACTACAGGGCCTAAGTATGGATAAGGTTGCACTTCTGATTTGCTTTCTGTACCTCAGGGAACTGTTAAAGGTTCTTTGTTTCTTTACTACTTGTATTTCATCTGCATTTTAATCCTTCCCTAGAGTGAAAACCCTGGAGAATGGAAGTCACATCTCTTTTGGAGGGAAACCAATCTTTTCCTGTGGTGACTCTTTAAAGAATAGAAGGACTCATGCTCCTGGACATACAGAGCTTGACCTAGGAAACAGTGCTGTGGATAGAGAGGGTTGATCCCAAGATATCAGGAAGGGAATAGGTTTAACCTCCAAGTCATTCCCTCCCTCCCTCACCAAAGAGTTATGGAATTCCTACCATGTTTTAGGCCCTCTGCTAGGAGCAAGGGAGACAAATACAGATAAAAAATTTTACTGACAAACTCATAATCTGGGTGATATTTTAGTGAAAACAACAGTTAGTAACAATGTCACATTCATTGTAATACAGGTACGTTTAAAGTGCTTTGAGAGCTCAGATGGGATGGGAGGGCTCTCTAGGGAGGCAGGAGAGGAGAGGGAGCGAGATTTATAGAATTTGGTTTTTAATAATAACTCTGTTACACACTTGGCTCACAACATTCCTAGAAAATTAACACTTGGCTCCTATGAGCTGTTGTGAACCTGGTTCAGCACGCCTTGGGATGAAGGTGAAATTGGGAAGTGTAGATATATCTTGTAGCCACAACTCTGAAGTTTAGACTCTCCTCATAAGGCAAGATAACTTGACATTTTAACTAGTGTTTTTGTTTCTCTTGTTTTATGTATTTTTATTTTCTCCCACAAGAGAAGGTGATTAACTTTTATTTCTCCTTATTTCAGGGGCTTTTCTATTGCTGGGCCAAAACTCTTTCTCTAAAGAGCTAGACTTGAATTACCCACTCTCATAGGACCACCTGGATATGGTCAAGGTGAAGGTTAGTAATGATCATTGTAGACTAAGACCAGAGGGCCCATTCTTGAATATATTTTGTGAGATCCTTGTAAACTTGAAAAGATTCTTGGTGGAAAGAACAAGCTTAATAAAAAGACTGAAATTGGGGGTTGGTGGGTGAGGGGATGGGTTAAATGGGTGACCAGCATTCAGGAGGGCACAGTTTGGCATGAGCACTGGGTGTCATATGTAAGAGATGAATCAGTGGGTTCTCCTGAAGCTAAGACTACACTTTATGTTAAGTAACTTGAATATAAATAAAAATTTAAAAAAAAACAACCAGAGGACTGAAATTGACTTTCTCACCAACTAAGTAGCAGAGAGTTCAGCATAATTTAAGTATTTTAGAGAAGTTAAGAGAAGTGATATTTCTTACACTCCGATGTTGTGGAGTGAAACTTATGCCCATTCCAGCTGGAGGTCATACATGCTTTTTTTAACCAAAAATATGACCTGATTGTATTTAAATTTTAGAAAGATAATTGTCACCCACATAGAGAAGGAATTGGAAGGAATTTTTCTCACTCTAAAATGAGACTAGTTAGGTGTGAGCATCTACCATGTTAAGGAGAACAATCAGGGTAGTCTGTGGGAATAAAGAGGAGAGGACAGGCTCCACAGTATTTCAGAGGATAAATGACAAAGGGTTGAATACAAGTTTTAGTATTTAAAATGTGAATTGTTATGACTTAGAGGCAAATGCAACCCTGTGCCTATGGTGGTTACCTCTGCCTTTTGCAAGCCTGGCACAGTGCCTCATACTTATCATGTGCTTCATAAATACATGTTGAATGGATGAAAGGGTGAATAAATCCATGCACAAACAAATATACATGTTTTTACTACATTAAAAATGAGTCTGGTCAATAGAATGTTAAGACAACCCACAGACTAAGAGAAAATACAAAATATGTATCTGAAAAAGGACTGCTATCTGAAATACATAAAGAACTTTTAAAACTCAATGATAAGGTGCCAGGGTGGCTCAGTCTGTTAACATGTGACTCTTGGTTTTGGCTCAAGTCATAATCTCACAGTTTCATGAGTTTGAGCCCCACATTGGGCTCTGTGCTGGCAGCTTGGAGCCTTCTTGGGATTCTCTCTCTCCCTTTCTGCCCCTCCCCTGCTCACAGGCACACACACTCTCTCTCTCTCTTAAAAAAAAAATTTAAAACAAATGGAAAAAAAACAAAAAACAAAAAAATAATGAGGTGCAACTATATACTTATTACAATGACCAAAATCTGGAACACCCAGAACAACACTTGCTGACGACAGGATGGAGCAACAGGAACTCTCATTCATTGCTGGTGGGACTACAAGATAGTACAGCCACTTTGGAAGACGATTTGGTGGTTCCTTATAAAGCTAATCATACTCTTACCATATGATTCAGCAATACATTCCTTAGTATTTACCTAGAGGGGTTGAAGATTTATGTTTGTACAAAATCCTACACATGAGGGGTTCCTAGGTAGCTCAGTAGGTTAAGTGTTCGACTTTGGCTCAGGTCATGATCTCACAATTCACGAATGTGAGCCCCATGTGGGGCTCTGTGCTGACAGCTTGGAGCCTGGAGCCTGCTTAGGATTCTGTGTCTCCCTCTCTTGCTGCTCCTCACCTGCTAGTACTCTGTCTGTCTATCTGTCTGTCTCTCTCAAAAGTAAACAAAACATTTAAAAAAATAAAAAAAAGAACAACCCTGCACACGGATGTGGAGCTTTATTCATAATTACCAAAACTTGGAAGCAATCAAGATGTCCCTTCATAAGTGAATGAATAAACAAACTGTGTTACATCCAGCCAATAGAATATTATTCAGCAGTAAAATGAAATGAACTATCCTGCTATGAAGAGATATGAAGGAACCGTAAATGCATACTAGTAAGTGAAAGAAGTCAATCTGCAAAGGCTATATACTGTGTGATTTCTACTATATGACATTCTGGAAAAGACAAAATGATGGAGACAATAAAAAGGTCAGTGGTTGCCAGGGAGTAAAGGAAAGGAAGGATGGAGAGGTAGAACACAGAGCATTTTTGGGTCATTGAAACTATTCTGTCTGATACTGAAATGGTGGATATACGTTACTATGCATTTGTCAAAATCCATAGAATATACGACACCAAGAGTGAACCCTGATATAAGTTATGGACTTCAGGTGATACTGATGTCAACATAGGTTCACCGATTGTAACAAATGAGCCACTCTGGTGGGAGATGTTGACAGTGGGAGAGGCATGTGTGTGTATATGAGAGGATAATGGGAAATCTCAGTGCCTTCCACTCACTTTTGCTGTGAACCTAAAACTGGTCTAAAAAAGAAAATCTATTTATAAGAAAAAAAAAGAGTCTGGGAGCTAGCATGAGGGCCCATAACTTAGTACCTGAATGATGGTTATGAAAACGAGAGCGTTACTCCATTGCGTGAAGATGATATTCTGACTACACTTATATACAGATCAATGAGCCTGTCAATGAAGACAGATGACAGTGTGGCGGGAGGAAATTCAGGTATACAGAATTATCATTATATTGTGTTGAAAAATAGAGTATGAGAATTTGAATCACCTTCACCCAGTATTTTTGTACATGAATGTCAGGTAATTTTCAACTTTATCCAGTAGTTATGGGGAATGTCAGCTCTGTGTTTCCAACCCACCACCTTTTTACCCAGCAATTGTAACAAGAAGCACATTTCAGACCACGGTATTCTAAGCAAGCAAATATTTGCTAGCCAGCAGACAGAAGACATCATACAGCCTGGGTATGTTTGGAATATTATCAGTCTCAACCCTTGACACGATGCCCAGCCTCTTTATGCAAGACTGTCTCCAGGATGAAGGCAGGCATGGTCTGCAGGAGGGAAGGTCAGGCCTTTTGGTCAGATCGGATGACAAGATCATCCACTGATGAGAAAGGTGCAGGCCACACCAGCTGTCCCCCTGGTATGAACTACTGGCCTGGGTAGGTACTTCTATATACGTTGTTCCTGCAAAGGTAGAGATATCCAACACCTAATGATCACATAACTTAAACTCCACTAATTTTGCCAATTAGAAATTTTTTCTAACATGCTCAGTAATAAAGCTTCTGAAGGTGATTTTGACCAAAATACCTTTGAATGCCACCTGGCAAGTTCTTAGGGTTTTAACTCTTATTTTGTCACTTCACATGCTAATTGGTCACTAGGACACAGGTAGATTAGAATTTAATTGTGCACACCGAGTTCCCAATGTTTACATACCATGGTATTGTAAAGCAAATTACAACAGACAATAAAACCAAAAGAAATATCAAGAAAAAGATTTTTTAAAAAGCTCCAACATCAAAGTGAAACTGTACTTATGTTTTGCAATGGACTGGTAATTATGAGATCTAATTGTACATGTTCTCAATTATTGCGTTGGAGAGAGTGAGTGTATATGGGGCTTTATAACATTTAAACAAAAACAATTTAAAGCAATTTACTGCCTTGGTTGATGTGGCATCATGACTTCTTTACAAGATTCCCATTAACAAAGCCCTTTATGTAAGGCTTTATTTGATGGATTTTTTTTTCTTTCTTTCTTTCTTTTTTTTTTTTTGGTAACAAGAAGAGCCACCAGTACTATGGCTGAGCAGAAAAATATCCCAGAGAGAGGTTGTCATAGGAACTGTACCCGAGGAGCAGCTACGCACATGATAGAATGTACCATCCAAAGAGGAGAGGAAGGAACTGATCATGAAGCTACTCTTACCATCGGTTTTAGGGAACAAATCTTTCATGAATCATGAATTTCCTCATGGAAATTGTCCTCAGTGACAGCAGCAGGGGTAGGTGAGATACTACAAGGCTATGGGGCTGATGATATATGTACCTCATAGGATTTTTGTAGGAGATTAAAATAGATAAAATACATTAAATATATACTATATAAAGTTCCTGAAAAACAGTAATAAATAACGATAATCTTTACTGTCCCATGTAATCCTCACTAGAGCCCTCTGAGGAAGACACAGTCATTATTCAAGTTTTCCAGATGAAAAGATGAAGCACAGAAAAGTTGACTTGTTCAAGGTCACATGGTAAGTGGTAGCGCTGAAACTCAAATGCAAGGTTGTCTGACTCTAGGGCACTTGGCCTTAGCTTCTCTGCTGGGCTAAACTAGTGGGCAATCAATGACTGGTAATAGTTATAAAAATGATTCTTTGGTTGTGGAATAGTAGTAGGAGTTTCAATTGCCTTTAGATACATATGGCTGAATGTCACTGCCTTTATTGATTTTGTTTTTCCCTTGAGCTTATTTTTTCTGAAACCACACAGAAATGTGGTCCTACAGGATGACAATCACTCTGTCCCATTTCCCTCCTTACTCCCTAGTGCAGAGGTTCAGGTTGCCCCCAGACAATTGATATTCTCCTATAGAGCTCTAAAAAACTAAGAATCTAAGACACCTGGGTAGTTCAGTTGATTGTGTCAGACTCTTGATTTAGGCTCGGGTAACAATTTCATGATTCGTGAAATTGAGCCCCGTGTCAGGGTCTACGCTGACAGTGCAGAGCCTTCTTGGGATTCTCTCTCTCTCTCTCTCTCTCTCTCTCTCTGCTTTTTCCCTTCTCGATTATGTGTGCTTTCTCTCAAAATAAATAAACATTTTTTTAAAAATGCTACATAAAAAGTAAGATTCTTCTCTCTCCCTCCCTTCCTCTTTCCCCCTCTCTCCCTTTCTCTTCCTCTGCCTCCACTTCCACCACTCTCCCTACCTACCATCCCCTATCCCCGGACCATACCTGAAGGAGGAATTCATAGCTGGAGAATTCATAGCTGGAGCTTCCTCACTATACCTTCCCCAAAGTTTTGAGACCCTATGTTGTATAGGCTGAATTACATCCCCTCCAAAGTTCCTATGTTGAAGTCTGTTAAAGAGAAAATTATTCACAACCCTTGTTAAGAAACAGTAAGGCAACATTTATTCAGGGGGACTATCACAATAGGTACAGGGACCAGGACAATGGGGTTTTGTAGTAGGGGAGAGAGACTGAGTTCAACTTCAAATACAGAAAAAAATGGCAATTTGTAGGCAAGAAGTGCGGTTGGGGATTGATGGTCAGAAAGTTACCAATAGGAAATACTATAGGTAATAGAGGAGTCTGTCTAAACCAGCCTGACAAGATTCTTGCTGAAGGCAGGCCAGGGTGATCAGATATCATCTGGGGGAAGGTAGATGGTGAGGAACCTGATCAGATATTGAGGGTGATCAGATACTGAAGATGAGGGTTTCTTGTTAAACTGACTCAGCAGGATTCTTTCTACAAACATTCTACAAGGAAGGACATGGGAGCCCAAGGTCAGGCCTAGTGAAAAAGAGAGCTCAGAAGATCCTGACCAAAGTTTGGTCAAGGAGAGAATCTTTGTCAAATCCTAACCTCTCGGTGCCTAAGAATGTGACAGTAATTGGAGACAGGACCCTTAAAGAGGTGACTAAGGTAAAATGAAGTCATTTGTGGTGTCCTTATAAGAAGAGGAGGTTAAAACACAGACACACACAGAAAAGGAGGATCATGTGAAGACACCAGAGGATGACAGTCATGTACAGACCAAGGAGGAAAGCCTTCAGAAGAAACGAGACCTACCAATGCCTTGATCTTAGACTTCTAGCCTCCAGAACTATGAGGAAATAACTTGCTGTTGTTAAGCCTCCTGTCTGTGGTACTTTGTTATGGCTGCCTTAATAAACTAACACACCCTGCAGTGGTCTGAGCATCAAAACTTTATTTGAATCTGTGCGGCCTATTCCTCCTGGCATCCCCACTCTGGATATTCTCTGATTGTGTTTATTTCATTGTAGTAAGCACCAGGTGTGGAATGTGAACCTTTGTAAAAAAGGGCCCAGATTTACTTTGGAAATGACTCCATAAAGATAAAGTCCAGGAAAATTAACCAACGTACATACTTTTTCTTGTGCCTGCCTCCCACTTATCCAGAGTGAACCTTCCTTAGAGTAAACACACTTTGTTCATCTCTAGATGCAAGTTCTTACAGGACTGCACTGCCATAAACTTTTTTTATATGTCCCTTTACTACCCCAACCCCAACCCCAGTTAATTTTTGAATTCACTGGCACTGAGAATGTGCCTCTGAATTATTCATTTCTGTGTTCCCTACAATTCCTGGTTCAAAGAAGGCACTAATTTATGTTTGGATTTTTTGAATGGAGATTATATGCATATATATATATATATATATATATGCACACACACAATAATTCTTTCTTTACCTCTGATGAAGGGATTTTTGTAATACAAATTCAAATGAAAAAAATTTAAAGAACATTAAACATGTGATGCCGTAATAGTCGATGTCATAAGAAAAAGGGGTTATTTTTATTTTTTAAAAAATATTTTATTTAAAGTTTATTTATTTTGAGAGAGAGTGCAAGTGGGGGAGGGGCAGAGAGAGGGAGAAAGAGAATCCCAAGCAGAGCGGATGCAGGGCTCTACATGAACTGCGAGATCATGACCCAGACCAAAGTCTGATGAGCAACTGACTAAGCGACCCAGGCACCACAGGTTATCTGTATTTTATTTACTTTTTAAAATATTTTATTTTTAAGTCATTTCTATACTCAATGTGGGGCATGTACCCACAACCCCAAGATCAAGAGTTGCATGCTCCATTGACTGAACCAGTCAGGCACCCTGGGATTTATTTTTATTTTCAGTGTTCTAGTGAGAAGATTCTGAAATGCCTAAGTCCTTTCTTACAAGAGAGGTTGAGTTGTCTGGGGAAAATGGCCGTTATGATGTGAAGGAATCTTACTGCCTACTCTACTCTCAGGATGTACCCAACACTCCACAGAGGGGGTTAGCCATCATTGGGGAAGTGGAGAGAGAAAGGAGATTGCAGAGGAAAGGAATTCCTGGGGTCCCACTCAGGAAAGACTCTGTAAAGACTGTGAAGAAGCTCACTGGAAAATCACCTGCGGACATCTTTTGGACTTCTTATGTATCTGGACTTGTTACTAGTAGTACTCTTTTTGGTAAGGAACTGTGCCTTCTCAGACTTTTGGCAAAAGAAAGGGAGGATATATTTGATTATGAAGTGCATGTAGCTGATCATGTTGAACCATGGAAACAGTGCTCCTCAGCCCTGACCAATGGGAGATGCTTGCTCTCTTGGGGGGGTCTGGTTGGAAACAAGATTTAGTCTTTCATAATACAGCCCTTCACCTGGTTCTTCCAGAGACACAATCCAAGGAAGACCAACTTCTCCTGAAAGTGTTAGTGAAAAGCTGGGTCATGAGCATCTGTTATTTTTAGACAATAGTAGGCGATGGACAAAGCAAGCCATGTAACAGGAACACGTATTTTTGCACCACTTGGATCGTAGTCCTTCAGGAGTTTACTGTTGGTAAGACAACTGCCAATACTGTGTCAGGAACACCAAAGAAATAGTATCAGTCATTTGTGAAGAGGCAGAACAGGCCTCCATTGGAGTTTGTTTATTACCGAAAAAGAGCACAAGTGAAGGTCATATCTGTTCTCCAAGTTCCTAATTATAATTCAGAGAGCCATGTGGGAAAGAGAATGGAGAAAAAGTAAAAAAATAAAAAAATCTGCCTGGAGTTTGGGAACACTGAATGGAGATGGAAGATATTTCTGTCTTTGATGCCAAATATCCACATAGTCATTTTCCCCCGCTAAACGTATTTAATTTTGTGGGATTGAGTTCTTCTTTCTGATGCCTAAGAAAATACAAATGCCATCAACTGTTTGATCTCATCTGGGTAGTTTGAAGGCTGTGTGTTTGTGGGTAGGGAAGTTAACACCACAAAAAGCACTAAAACCCTACAACATGGCAGCTTTGAATGATTCACAGCAAACAGTTACAATGCAGGTCAGGTGGTGTATTTCTAATGTAAAAAAAAAAAAAAAAGATTACTTAAAAGAGTATCCAGAAAACACAAGACATTTGTACTATTTGTCATCCACTGAAAGCTAAGCAACATTGGGACTTGGTTATTTTAAGCTACAATTTGAAAAACCAAAACCAATGATTTCTGAAAACAACGAAAAATGTGCTAATTTAAATGGTTTTGAAAATAGGCACAAAGGAGGAAAAAGGGCCTTTTGCATGATGTATAAGGAAGATCTGTTGAAGAAAATTAGCTCCTGCAGAAATAAGATTGATAATGTGACATTTACTCACTTTGATCTAAATTTAACATCTACCCACATTTTGAACGTTCCAGTGCCCTTCCAGTTACTATAGTGATCATACCTTGCAATTCAATGTTTGATTCCTAGGTAACAAACAACTATCGTGGATACCAGAGTGAGCATAGGTAAAAATCTGTTTTATTAGATACTATCTGGAGTTTCCTAATTGAAAAGCATCTCTCTCTCCCCATCGCCCCACCCCCTTTTGAACATGTTTTAGTTTTGCTACATCTAATGAGGAGATTGAATACCTCTAAATATACTGTACAAGAAGAATCAAGATGCATGCATGTTTAAGCACTAATTTTGAGTGCAAGGATCTTGACATGATGGCATAGCATTGCTGGGAAACAAAAAATAGGGGTTCTAAAATAAGTGCTCTTCTGATGGAGTTGACCTAGAAAGTCACTCTTGATGTTTGATGAAGATGTGGACAAAAAAATACCCTCAATAGTTGGAGCATCTGTTCCATCTAGTGATGTGCCATATCCAATGTTTATTCTGCTTTTAATATAGACAGATTCATGAGGTGGGAGTTTTTTTTTTTCCACAAAAGCAACTTGCATTAGAAACTTCCAGATAAATGCAGAAGAATCTCCTAACCACTGAAAAGACAAACAGTAGGTACTTTATTATATATATATATACTCTATACTTTTAAAAACATCTTGTCAAAAGTCCTATTTTGGCTCTCAAGAAAGAGTGTCGAAAGATTCATAACTGAGTAGCACAGAAATATTCCAACATTTACATTTCTAGGTATTGGCCCTGTGATGGAGTCTTAATATATTAGAGATAGCAATAAGTCCATTGGAATGCAGGGTTCTGAAATAAGAACTACACTTTTTAAAAAGCAATCTCTACCCACAATGTGGGGCTAGAACTCAGGACATCAAGATTAAGAGCCACACGCTTTACAGACTGAGCCAGCCAGATTCCCCAAGAACCCACTTTATTTATTTATTTATTTATTTACTTACTTACTTTGAGTTTATTTATTTTGAGAGAGAGAGAGCATGATTAGGGGAGGGGCAGAGAGAGAGAGAGAGAGAGAGAGAGAGAGAATCCCAAGCAGGCTTTGCATCATCAGCACAGAGCCTGATGGGGGGCTCAAACTCACAAACCATAAGATCTTGACCTGAGCTGAAATCAAGAGTCTGTCACTCAACCGACTTCAGCCCCCCAGGCACCCTAAGAACCCACACTTTTAAATCTAACTTTTCCATTGCCATACAATAAGCAAAGGCAAACATGAAAAAAAATCAATAAAACAA